CCGAATGAATAAGTTGCTTATAGATTGGCTTGCTCCATCGTAGGTCGCATCACCGCTTACCACCAGGCGTGATAGCGGCTAAAATAAATGCCTGCCCATTACGAAATAAATAAAATCACTAAATCTATAAAACACCGCATCCGCTGCATAGTTAGCTGCATAGTTTTAATGTTTTAAACATGCATCGAGACAGAAAACGCGACGTTGTTTTTTACCTACTATGTAGTAATATAATAGTTTGGCTAATAATTAATTGATATTATTTAACCATTTCTTTCCACTACTTAACTAAATTATTACCATGACGTTACATCAAGTTTAAATAACTACAGTTAACCACACATCTTACAATCAAGAATCAGATAACTTTCACCTCCGCATAACTAAAACATGGCATTTTAAGACCAAATAGTTTAATGTTAAGATTCAATTTGCGATGTAGATGTTCTCTGCGGATACCGGTTAGTGAGAAAGTGTTTTTATGTCCGCTATTCTGTTGTGTTTCTGTATCTTTGTCAGGAGTGACGATTGCGAAGTATTTTCAATGAAACATCATTTAAAATTAGGCTTGGTGTATGACAATTGATTCGCTTCCTAAGATATGGAACTCTTAACTGGTGAAAAGTATGAGAGAGTTACGGCATTAATCAGCCGGTTTGATCCGACTGATACCATTGCAATACAGAACATGGAATGGAATGTGAAACGATAATGAGGAGACTCGAACCTCCTAAAATACTGACTTAAAACCAACCCGTTGATTTTCCTGCTTTCCGGCCTTGGGCCGAGGCCGCAGTACCTTATTGCCTGGCTGGACTTGTGCTGATAAAATACCTCAAATAACACTTAATTACAGCATTATTTCATCGCGCATGAACATTCACACATACATAATTAAACATTAATACACAATATTTCATCAAATCCCAAGCAACCGCCGGCGTTCGTGCACCCTCAGCCGGGGTTGCAGGGTAAGCGCAATGATGCACAGCAGCCTCGGCCTTAAAGCAGGAGAAGGAATGGGGGAGTTTTTAGTCAGTAAGAGTCTGACACTCTCTCGCCTTACGTTGGGCGGGAGAATAATTTGTTGATTTTCCCCTGACAAACAAAAAGCGATCGCGCACCTATTGTTCTCCTATTGGGTCTCGAATTACCACAATCATCATCATCATCATCATTATCAGCCGGAAGACGTCCACTGCTGGACAAAGGCCTCCCCTTAGCTCTCCACGTCGAAAGACAAGTTGCCACCTGCATCCATTGGCTCCCCGCGACTCTGACGATGTCGTCGGTCCACCTAGCGGGAGGCCTGCCCACACTACGTTTTTCGGTCCTTGGTCGCTACTCTAGGACTTTTCGGACCCATCGAAAAGTCCTAGAGTATTAAAAATTACCACAATAGAGAGGTTAAATATCTACATATACCTATATATGAATTACCGGCCCATTGTGCTGCTCGACGAGGTGGGAAAGCTGTTCGAGAGGATAATCTCAGACCGCCTCGTCGGGCACCTGTCTGGAAGGGGGCCGGATTTAGCGGACGGCCAGTTCGGCTTCCGCAGAGGGCGCTCCACGGTGGACGCCATCATGCGCGTGAGGGACCTCACGACGGGGACAGCGTTGGCCGGGAGGCGAGTCGTCGTGGCGGTGTCTCTGGACATCGCCAACGCCTTTAACTCGCTGCCCTGGAGCTGCATTTTGGAGGCACTCCGGTATCACCGGGTGCCTGCCTATCTCCGTCGTGTAGTCGAGGCTTACTTGACGGACAGATGCGTCATCTACCCCGGTCACCGGGGCGTGTGGAATCGGCGAGAGGTGTCGCGCGGTGTCCCACAGGGATCGGTCCTGGGACCTCTCCTGTGGAACATCGGGTACGATTGGGTGCTACGCACCGACCTCCCGAGCGGCGTCAGCATTGTCTGCTATGCTGACGACACGCTGGTGCTGGCGAACGGGAGGTCGCATCAGGCGGCGGCCGACCTGATGTCACAAGCGGTTGCGACAGTCGTTGCAAGGATCCGGCAGTTGGGACTCGAGGTGGCGCTCCACAAGTCCGAGGCCATGTGCTTCTATGGCCGTCGGAGCGCGCCACCTCCAGGTGGGTCCCAAGTAACGGCAGGAGGAGTTACCATCGGCGTCGAGTCGGCGATGAAGTACCTGGGTCTCGTCCTCGACAGCCGATGGAACTTCACGGAGCATTTTCGTCGTTTGGCCCCTAAGTTGGAACGGTCTGGGGCCGCGCTCAAGCGGCTCCTTCCCAACCTCGGGGGGCCAAACGCCTCCTGCCGGAGGTTGTATATGGGGATTGTGCGATCCATGGCCCTCTACGGTGCCCCTGTGTGGGCGCCGGACTTGAAGCGGCGGCCGGCTCGTACGCTGGTCGCGTCCCAGAGGGCCATGGCTATACGAGTAATCCGCGGGTATCGCACGATCTCCGGGGAGGCGGCGAACCTCCTTGCCGGATCACCGCCGTGGGATCTAGAAGCGAAGGCGCTCGCGCGCGTCTACAGTTTGCGCGCAGACGCGCGTCGCCGGGGCGAAGATCCTCTGCCGCGCCAAATAAGTGCGTGGCGGAATGAGCTCCGGCGAGATCTCATGGCAGAGTGGAGACAACGACTGTCGCAACCGAGGGCCGGGCACGCTACCATAGCAGCGGTAAGACCCCTCTTTGAGGAGTGGCTTGAGAGACGCCACGGCGTCCTCACCTTCCGTCTGACGCAGGTGCTTACCGGGCACGGCAGCTTCGGTAGGTTCCTGTTTCGGATTCAGCGGGAGGAAACGCCCGAGTGTCGTCATTGTGAGGACCACCTAGAGGATACGGTGGAGCATACGGTAGCGGTATGCCCTGCCTGGGCTGAGCACCGCCGTATCCTCAGGGAAGTGATCGGCGGCGGCGACCTCTCGCGCCCGGCCTTAGTCGAGGCCATGGTGCGGAGTGAGAGGAACTGGGACGCCGTCTCCTCCTTTTGTGAAGCGGTCATGCTCGCAAAGAGAGAGGCGGCCCGCGTGAGGGAGCAATCCTCCTCCTCGCGCCCCAGCAGCCGCAACTGGCGACACTACGGGCGTCGGGGATCGAGGGACGATCTCCGGCCACCGTAAGTACGGGCCTGCGGTCGGCGAGTAAGGGCAGCTCGCCGCCCGACCAGAACCAGGCCCGAGCGTACGGCGCGTAGCGTTCCGCGCGCGCCTCAAAGAGCCAATAGACCACCACAGACGGGGCCCTAAAGGGCTGATGTTCAGCCGGGGTTGCGGGGTAAGCGCAATGAGGTACCGCGACCTCGGCACAGAGCAGGAGAAGGAACAGGGGGGTTTTTAGTCAGTAAGAGTCTGACACTCCCTCCTGCCCGGCCCTGGGCGGGAGAAGTCATTTGATGATTTTCCCCTCACAAAAAAAAAAAAAAAAAAACCTATATATGAATGCGGTATCATAGAAATTATGCTAAAACTGCGCTATTCATGTTGATTCAGCATTATCCCACGAATATTTAGCTTATCCCGCCGTGTTGGGATCAAAACGGGTTGAGATGGGATAGGGTTTAATATTTGCGGATACCCGATTAAAAGGTAGTCGGGTTTGTCCGTTTTTTTAATAAAATATAAGTTTTATGAGAGAATGAGTGGCGAAAAATAAAAGGGGTTTTTATCCCAATTTCCTCGGGTTTTGACGGGTTTTGTGAAAGGGCCTTTTCATCTTAATTTCGTTAGTTTGCCGGTTTTTATGATATAATTGGTTTCATTCTCATTGCAGTACATTAGGCTTTTTAATGGTTTTCACTAAACATATTTTGAACTAGCTAATCTCGCTCAGTTTCACTCCCTGTTCGGCTCCATTTAAATGTATCGTGATGTTTTATAGCCTATAGCACTCGGAAACATTATAACTATAAATTAGTGAAAGAATTTTGGAAATCCGACCAGTGGTTTCTAGGATTATCCCCTTCATACAAACTTAAAAAATTACCTCTTTATAATATTAGTAAGTATAGGATAAAAACTTTGCTCGATACAAATTTTATGCCGCTACATATAACAAAAACTCATATGATTCAATCATTCAGCTAGTGTTAAACCTTATAGTATACGAGCGGTCGCACGCAGCTCCGCCCGCAAATATGTGATGAAGATTTTTTTAATTTTCTCCACGTGCAAACTTCTGGAATTTCACGAATAATTCAAGTCCAAAATTTTTTTAGCCGAATCGGTAAAGGCATTGTTGAGTGTTATAACCATTGCAACGAAAAGTGGCATTGATTTTTTTAAATTTATAGATATTTGACTACTTCATTCGATTTTGTTTTTTATAAAAATTGGGTAAACAACAAATTAAAATATTTCTTGTTGGACCCACAAACTTATTTGGTGTACAATAATGGTTATTTATTATTATAACTTGTAACAGCCTCTTTAAAAATATAATTAATTAATCAGGAAATTGAATTGAACTTGTCTATGGTAAACATTTTTAGTTTCGATGTAATAATTTTATTAAACAACAGATTGAGGTAACCATTGCGGAATAAATATTTTTGTAATTAAATATACCTATCTAAGTAAATACATTAAGATATTATAATATGTAATATTTACCTTTGCTTTGATTTCAAGGTCCTTCTGATTAGCAGAAGATGTCATTAATTTAATTTTATTAAGTACTTGCTTTGAATTTAGATTTAAGGTAGAAGAATTGGGCTTTCGCGCCAAAAACCTTGATCACACGGTGTTTACATAACGCCGTGGTTAAATCACGGCGGTTTTCTGTGAGGCCGTGGTTTCACTCCGGTCTAGCCGACCCATTCGTGCCGAAGCATGGCTCTCCTACTCTTAAACCTTCTACATTTTGTGTTATGTTTTTAACCAATAGCAGTCATCGATAATTAGTTTATCGAACACAAAAATAATAAATCAATTCGAACCAGTAATTTTGGAGATTTAAGCAAACAAACTCTTTAGTCTATTAAAATTAATATAGATTTTATAAATGTGTGTTTTTCTTGATGCAGTGGTTACGGGTTGCACCGATGGTATTGGCAAGGAGTACGCAAGACAGGTAAATGAATTTATTTGTTTATTAAATACGGCTATAACATAAGTCAAAGTCAACATCAAAATCATTTATTTCAGTTGCTACGGTGTGGTTGGGTTCGATTCCCGCACGGAATAACTCTCTGAGATCAATTTGTTGTTGTTCCGGTTCTGGGTGTGATGTGTATGTGAAATTGTATGTTTGTAAACACGACACGACACGGGAGGAAATCTTAGTATGGGGCAACTTTATTTTTTTTTTCAAGAAAAGCGCAGTAAGGTGCCGCGTCCTCGGCCCAGAGCAGGAGAAGGAACGGGGGTTTTTAGTCAGTAAGAGTCTGACACTCCCTCTGGCCACCCTCCGCGGGAGAAGTCATTTGATGATTTTCTCCTCAAAATAGGGTAAAAATGTAAGCATACTTTATCGAGGGCTTTTTGTTATCTTTATCACCTTTAAAGATCAAGTCTTGAATTTGTTTTAAGTACTTAATTTACTTAACAAGCAAAATGACATACCCTAACCTAATGAATTTCTAAACAACATTTTTAAAAGTTTACGCCTTCAACTAGAAATTTTTGATGAATATTTTAATTTGTAGACTTTTGCAACTTAATTATTAATTGCGTGACTTTGTTATTAATGGTATTTTAAAACTATGCCTAAGTTGTTTTATTTTTAAAAATTTGGAGTAGGTTAAGTTTAGAGTTGAAAGTGTTAAGGGCTTTTTTATAAATTATCAAATGACTTCTCTCGCCCAGGGAAAGGGGAGATGGAGTACCAGACTCTTACTGACTAAAATCGACTTCATCTGCCTTTAGCCTCTTAGCTGCCGGTATATGAGACAATAGAAAAATGGACAATGTGTCTCTCGCATATCTGCGCATATCACGGGTTGGAGAACCCAAGGAATTAGGCAAAAAGCAGTGGAATGTAAAAACTAGTTTTCAATTTAACAAAAGTTTTATAGTGAGTAGCCTCAAAAGCTATGAAAATTGGATACTTGACGCTGCCAAAATGTAAATTATTTAGGAAATTCCATGCAATAACATAGAAGTGTGGGAGAGCCATGCTTCGGCACGAATGGGTCGGCTCGACCGGAGTGATACCACGCCCTCACAGAAAACCGGCGTGAAGCAACACTTACGTTGTTTTTTGCCATGTGAGTGAGATTACCGGAGGCCCAATCCCTCCTTCTTCCATACCAAACAACCCACAAGAGGCCGGCAACACACTTGTAACTAACTCCTTTGGTATTATGAGTTTCCATGGGCAGGGCCGCTTACTTACCACCAGGTAATCCGTCTGCTCGTTTGCCGACTAGTACACTAGACAGAGTATTTTTTATGTCATTCGATCACAAATTGTAGTATCATCTTTTGATATGTTGATAAAAACCCGCGTGTTAAGAGAGAATTCTAGAGAATATTATAAAATAATTAAATAATTCCCCCTATTCTCGAACTCCAAATCCCCTTTCCTCAAATCCATTTCCAAAAATATTCAGTTTGACTAAATGTTCAGTATTCAAATTAACAAACAAACCCATATCAATGTGAATCTGAAGCTTAACACGTGCCGTAGCCAAAAAATTAAATCCATAAAAAATCTTAATATCTTGATTAACAAAAAATATTCTACTAACAAGGCACACATGCGTATTATTATTTAAAAAAGAACAATAGTCTGCTAGTCTAATACATATAAATTCCTGCCTACGTCGATTAAATAAATATTTATACATATATCAAAGTAATGTAAATTTGCTGAGATATTCATATTATGACGTAAATTCTTATATGTGCTGCTAAATAAATAAATACCTATGTAGGTTGTACTTGTGTTAAAAATGCTGATCAATATACTAGTACCCGCTAATTTCTTGAACCTATGTATGCTGTATTTGGTTTAATAACCTACTTTTTTAATGAAATTGGTATATTTTCTTATAATATTTTTCGTGTTATATAATATACTATATAGCTACTCTCGCGCGGTTTCAACCGCTGCTCAGCTCCATTTGATCGTAGCGTGATATTTTATAGCCTATAGCACTCAGGAACATTGTAGCTATCTATCAGTGAAAAAATTTTGGCAATCCGACCAGCGGTTCCAAATATTACCCCCTACATACAAACTTACAAATTTTACCTCTTTATAATATATGTATAGAAAATATCTATGTTTAAGGGCAGATTCAATAGTCAAATACATGTTATCTGAGGAATAAAATTGTTGCTGTCACTGTCTTGAACAAACATTCTGGACGCGACAGCATTCATAATTATTCCCCATGTAACTTATCTCCTACCATTGAAAAATCAGCCCTAAATCTTATATCTTAGTGTTTGGATGCAATCCCACCGGATAGTAAGCAAAGATGCAACCTTTCTGATCGTTATAATCGTTTCGATGCAATTGGTAATATGCTACTACCCAATGAATTTATAAGTAAAAAGGTGTAGATTGGTTACATAAACAAAATTAGATTTTCAAAAATGGCATACTAATGTGTACACGTTAAAGTGGGATGGCATGATTCAATAATCGCGAGTGAAGAAGAGACAAATATGAAAAAATGTGGCTAATTAGCCACATTTTAATGTATTCTCTGAGCGCTTGTAACCGATTAAATGTTCAGATGCATACAATCCGTTCTATACTTTTTTTTTGGTAAGGTGTAAATCGTCAAATCTCTTCTCTTTGACTTCTCCCGCCCTGGATAGGCAGGAGGTAGTGTCAGATTCTTACTGACTAAAACCCCCCGTTCCTACTCCTGCTATGGGCCGAGGCCGCGATGTTTCATTGCGCTTGCCCCGCATCCCCGGCTGAACATCAGCCCTATAGGGCCCCGTCTGTGGTGGTCTATTGGCTCTTTGAGGCGCGCGGAACGCTACGCGCCGCACGCTCTGGTGTTCTATACTTATGATGTTGTTAATACGAGTATGTAGATGAAGTAAATATGTAATGACTACTCTACCCACTCCTTAGATTAATGGGTTCTGCTACGTATTTAACAATCTTAATGCGTCAATAGTCAAACCAATAGCAATTACCTATATCGACTACAATTCAAATAATTACTTCTGAGAATTGTTTTCCATTAGGACTTTAGGAGATAATTCCTATTATAAGATAATAAATTAAATTGCCTGAAATATGTACGCCTATAAATTAACTCTTTTTGCATTTTGATTAATAATTTTGACTTTACTTTTTGTTGGATAGGTAGTCAAAATAAGCAGGCGGACCTGATGGTAAGTTAAGCAATCGGCATTCCCTTGGCTACTGATAACACCAAAGGAGTTAAAAGTGCCTTGTTTTAACTGTGCTTAAAGAAGGAAAAAGAACAGTGGGTTTAGTCAGTATGAGTCTGACATTCCATCCCGAATCCCGCCCCACCCTGGGCGGGAGAACTCATTTGATGATTTTCCCCTCACAAAAAAAAGTTAGGTAGGATCATCAAAGGTTCATCATAAGTTCAATTTTCAAAAGTTTATCAAATGTTAGAAATAATTTGATGATTTTCACCTCTTAAAAAAAGTTAGGTAGGTTCGAAATTCTCTCGTCTTAGAGCAAATGGGGTAACGGGGAAGGATAGGGCCTCCGGTAACCTCACTCACACGGCGAAACACAACGCTGTGTTGGTATCACCCTGGTCGAGCCGACCTATTCGTGTCAAAGCTTGGCTCTCTTACACTTTGCCTAATGCTTACGACAAATCCTCAATATTATGACGAGGTTTTTCGAATAATGTACTTGATCTATCTTAATAATTTTTTTGATTGCAATGGAGTCTGCGCCGGATTTCACTACATATCAGTATCTTACGAGGACTGATTCGGAAACTGCGATCTGCGATCTTTGTATATTTTTTAATTCTAATAATGTTTTATCTTTTGCTACAGTTGGCCGCTGTGGGCTGTGATATCATTCTAGTCAGCCGTTCTATGGAGAAGCTGCAGGCGACCGCTCAGGAAATAGGTAAATACATTTTAAACTGACTTACTTTTAAATTCTCTCCACTGATCGTCACTACCATACAAGACTTGTGCGTGAAGCGGTGGAAATCAAGATATGCCCAAATGATTTAAATCGGGAGGACGGCTTTAAATTGTCGTCGACGTGGAATCCAGTGATTCGCAAAACACAACCTCGCTTTCCTTCAAAGTCGGTTAACACATCTGTGGATATAGTCAGCGTAGTGTGTAGGCGGCCTAATATGGTAGAAAATGAAAATAAGGGGGTAGATGAAGATTCATCGCCCGAATGCAGGGAGCTGTGACATCGCTTCTTCAGTCTGCTTGTGACCACAACCTGTGTAACCGGGTCGAAACGGCAAGCCGAGAAGGTATTCAAATAATAATTTTCCGCGTTAATACCCGCGTAAATATATGTTATTAAACTGACTTTTCTTTTTTTACTAAAAAGGATTACTTGACTTAAGTAAGCAATCGGCGCCGTCTCTGGACGGGTGTCCATAGACGGCGGGGTTCGAATTCGTGTCTAGGTTTAGGGGATTAGGGTTTCGGATAGGTAAGGATTGAGAAAAGACAGGGGAAGGGAAGGATTGGACCTTCTGTAACCACACTAACACGGCGAAACACAATGCTGTAGTTGTTTGTGATTTAAGAACAATATAAAATTTTGACTTTGACTGCATTTGACCAAAATTTATCAAAGCATCATGACATTTGACTACTTAGGTTTTTCATGATTATAGGCCCCAGCGTAGCTTTATACTAGTCGAGCAACTCGGTAGAGTGGATAACGAAATACATACCTAATACAACATACTTAAATACACCAAATTGTTACAGAAAAGGATTTCAACGTTTCGACGAAAATCATTCAAGTAGACTTCACTGGTGGTGATGAGATCTACGATACTATTGAAAAGGAAATAGCAGGGCTTGAGATTGGAACCCTCGTCAATAATGTTGGAATCTCCTATACCTACCCAGAATACTTTCTGGACTTGGTCGAAATGTAAGTATTTAGTTACATAAATATTGTAGGTATACTATCTATAATACTGCTGCACGGTTGGCGCGGTGGCTAGGCAACGCCACGTGTCGCAAGCTCGTTTTCCGCACGGAACAACTGTTTGTGTGATCTACAAATTGTTGTTCCGGTTCTGGGTGTGATGTGTGACCCACGACACAGGGGACAATCGGGAGGTAGGGGCAAAGTTTTAAAAAAAATGTTTACCCTTTTTTGGGTGAGAGGGAGTGTCAGACTCTAACTGATTTACAACTACCACGTTCTTAATACGCTGTTGCTTCTTCTGCTCCTGGCCGATGCTGCGGTATATTATTGTGTTTTCATCCGCGATTCCGTCTGAATATCAGCCTTATTGTGCCCCATCTGTGGCGCATATAAGATACGATCTGCTTCATCTTATAATGATGGTTAAGCTGGAAAGAGGATCGTCGGGCAATCCAAAAAGTCTGGGCAAAGTCAAAATCATTTATTTTATTTCAATTAGACCACCTGCACATGAAAGTCAAACAAAGCTCAAATATACAAAAAATGACAGTCTGTCGGTCAGTTCTCTTAATAAACTTATTTTTTCGTTCGAAACAAAGTGTAGATTGTTATGGAAAATAACAAGTAAGAAACTCCATGGTTGTTTCAGTCAATTTATAAAACAATTTTTTACATTATATTGTCAAATCATTTATTTCAGTTAGACCCTTACAGGCTCTTAAAGATGAAAAAGAAAAGTCAGCCCTCTCTGTTAAGCTATTTCCTCGTTCCAAAGTGTACATTCCGATGGAGAAGAACGAACAAGAAACTCCATGGTTACTCTCTTTTAATCAATTTTACAAACAGATTCCTTGTTACATTAGAAAGTCATTCATCATACATTTTACTTTATTGTAGCAATTGTTCAATGGCGACACAAAGAGAAAAAAATGTTTTATTTCTTAAAAAAAGACACATCGTCCATCCAATCCAATTTTCACTACTGATGTACTTACGATACTACTCACGAATTTCTAAAACCCCAATATGACGGGTTCTGGCACCCGTTTTATCCCGCTTGACAAGCTAAATGCCAGGAATACCTAAAGCTTTGGTTGTCAATGGCTTCGAACAGGGATTTCAAAATATCACATTGGTATTTTAACTATGAAGTCCCTTGTTATTTTAATTGAAACGCGTTACAAGTGCATAATCTATTTTTAACCTATATATAAAAATGTATCGCAAATGTGTTGGTAAGCACATAACTCAAAAACGCCTAGACTAGTTTTGTCAATTTTCATATCAAAGAAAATATTAGTAAAGTGCTGGGGAAAATTGGGAAAAATAACATTTTCGTCGTTAGCGAAACAGTTAGACCCGTATGAAACGAGGGCGTACCGCTAGTTGTATATAAAGAGCTATAAAGTATCTGCCACAGCTGCAATTGGAGGTAGTATTGTGTTTATAGATTATAATAGTAAAGATAAATAATCGTAAAACAAAAATTAATATATTTTTTTTATGGTTTAAGTCTACGTGGTTTAGGACGGATTACCGGATGGTAAGCAATCGGCGCCGCCCATGGGCACCCGCAACACCAAAGGAGTTACGAGTGTGTTGCCGGCCTTTTAGGGATAAAGATTGCGGATATAAGGATCGGTAAGGGATAGGGGAAGGGGAGGGATCGGGCCTCCGGTAACCTCACTCACACGGCGAAACACAACGCTGTGGGTTGTTTCACGCCGGTATTCTGTGAGGCCGTGGTGTCACTCCGGTCGAGCCGACCCATTCGTGCCGAAGCTTGGCTCTCCCACACTTGAAACTTATATATAATATAATTGATTAATTTGATGGCATGTTATGGAGGCGAACCTATAGTTAGTTATTAAACAGATCCCGCCCCTCTCTCAAAAAAGCCTTATGTCGTAAAGGCAGTTATAAAAACAAATAATAAAGATGAGTGTCCTTATGAGCGGATTGAGCGTTCAACTAAAAAAAAAAACTGTTACGTTCGACGAACTTTGTGGTTATTCATATATAGCATATAATTTATCCGCTTAATAAATTAACACTTTGGTATAATGCGTCAAAAAGAAAAGTTACGTATAATTTCATCATTTTTTTTTATGTAGGTAATAGGTCGGCAAACGAGCAGACGGATTACCTGATGGTAAGCAATCAGCGCCGCCCATGGACACCCGCAACGGAGGAGTTACGAGTGCGTTGCCGACCTTTTAGGGATTAGGGATTTGGAGACTTAGGAACTTGGGAGGGATTGGGGAAGGGGAAGGATTTGGCCTCCGGTAACCTCACTCCGAGGCGAAACACAACGCTGTGGTTGTTTCACACCGGTTTTTTGTGAGGCCGTGGTATCACTCCGGTCGAGCCGGCCCATTCGTGCCGAAGCATGGCTCTCCCACACTTATCATTCAAATGATAATACCGAAATATTTACTAAAGAATAGATGACGAAGCACGTGCAAAAATATTTGTTTATTGGGTTTATTGACCCGTTAAATATAGAATGTTTGCATACACGAGAGCAGAGATCTAAAAAAAAACAATTTTAAAGTGCTAATCACTTCTCTAAGCAGTAGGATTTGCGAAATAGCCTATGTGTAGCTAATAATAGATATGTCATTAGAATGAGAAGGTACTAATTTCTTGAAAAAAGAAAACTATTATGTTTTATTTTTTTAAACTGTATGTATAGCATTCTTACCAGTCAACCTTAGGGTGATGCAGAGAGATTTTGGTAACAAGAAGAGATCTAGGTACTAGATAATAAACTAAAAGTACTTATATCATCAAATCATAAAGGTCGTGGTGGCCCGGAGGTTGAGGAGCCCGCTTCTCATGCATGAGGGCGTGGTTTCGAAATCTGGCAAGTTACCAATGTGACTTTTTCCGAATTATATATACTTTCTAAGATTATTTAGACACCACTGGCATACGGTGAAGGTAAACATCGTGAGGAAGCCTGGACTTATAATTCTAATTATAAGTTTGAACCGCCAACCCGCATTGAGCAAGCGTGGTGATTAACGCTCTAACCTTCTCCGTATGAGAAGAGGCCTTTGCTCAGCAGTGGGCAACTTATAGGTTGATGATGTATCACTTCTTAAAGCAATAGGATTTGCGAAACAGCCTATGTGTAGCTAATAATAGATATATGTGCATATGTCAGACAGGGAAGTTACTAATTTCAATAAAGAATAAAGAATGCTAGATTTAGTGTGAGTCATTGAAACAATGAAATAATGAATTTATTTTTGCAAATAGGCTATAAAACGGCACTTTTACGCGTCAATTTAAGTCATGGATAAAGACTGCGCTTTTATGAAATTAATGGCAACGGATAGCTAAAATTTATCTGGTTTCTATTGTATAAATTATATTTTTTTAACTTTAGGATAATAGACAAACTTTGATGATTATAACGGGCATTTTGAGGTTTTATTTTATGTCAATATGTCCAATATTGACATTTTGAGGTTATTATTTTATGCCAATGTTTGACATATTGACATAATTATAATAATATAGTATAAACTATATAAAAATAGTTTAGGAAACATGTTTTAAGTTACTATGTCGAAAATAAATAAATAAATTATTATGTTTATAAAAAAAATTGTTGTACTTATATTTTTTTAATATCACGGTTTTTTTTTAATTTAATAAACTATACGAAACAATTATTATAGAAGGGTTTCACCTACACGTTTACTTAACACGCATCATCAGGCAGGATTTGGCATTCTCTTTTCAACTCCTGAACAACGGCAACGCACCTAGAAAAGCCATTTTTATATCGAAACGTCAACAACTCAACACAAAAGTCTAGAAATATCTTTTGAGAAGCTATCAAAAGCAACTTTATAGAGAATAATATCGGTCCCAGCTATCAAAGTACGCGACGGCAATCGTTGGCAGTTCACCTCGGGTAATATCGCGGAAAAGTTGAACATTTTGTGTGTTGGATGCATTCCCGTCGGTTCCATACCGCGCGCATTATTACCACCGAGTTGAAATATATTTGCAATTGCAATTGATACGAGATTATTTTTGACACGGGTTCTTGATATTGGTTCGGATTGCGGTTCTGGATTTGGGTTTGCGAAGTTGAGGTGTGGAGATGTGACTTTTCAACTAAGAATGCTGTGGTCGGATGGAAACAAAATTGTTACTTACGCGGTTAAGAAAAAAATGCCTTTACCACTTTTTAGCCAGTTAACTGAATATGTCCAAACTTATATTCAAAATAATTTCGAGTGTCTATGGTTGGCGCCGATTGCTTACCATCAAGCAATACACATGCTCATTTGGCGAAAAGTAAAGTTAGGTATAGGTGGGTGCAGAAATACATTTTATATGTACCAACTTGCCACCTTGATTTGAGCCTTATGCCATGTTATCATATAGGGTGCCTGGTAATTAGTGAACGATACTTATTTAAACACGTGATTGTATGATGATAGATAACAAACAACTTTGCCAAAGAAACTTTTTCCAAGACTTATAAGTTTTATTTTTATGATTACTTATTATAAAAAAAACTTCGCGCGCCCCAAGTGCATCGCCCGATCAGCTGTTAGCGGCGAGGCTCCTTGCTACCGCGTTTGAACTTCGGCTACTTAGTGATTTTGTTCAATTCACTAATTACCAGTAAAATAAGTCAAAAATCTATTATTCTAATTAGACCCTTACAGGCACTTTCGAACGTCAAACGAAATTTTGAAGAAACTGTCAGTCTGTCGGTCAGTCCTCTTAGTGAAACTATTTGCTCGTTCCAAAGTGTAGATTCCTATGAAGAAGAACGAGCAAGAAACTCCATGGTTGCTCTTTTTAAATCGTTTCACATACAGATTCCTTTTACAAACAGTGGTTCAATGGGGTTTTCGATACGTCACGTCCAAACAGCTATCAGATAGCACAGATTCTTACCGAATGTATTATTATTTTGGTAAAATTTTATGTTTTTGGAAGTGTTATTGATTTTATTATGGCTACAAGCGACTGTTTAAATCGGCCTTTATCTTCTGTAGGGAACTTATGTCCTCCTTTTTTATTTGCACACATAGGCACTGCACAACACTGTGGCATTTTGGAAAACAATATTCCGTTTGTAACGTTTTTAAGAATAAATAAACCAAAAAAATTATCGAAAAATATAAATCGTATATGTGTTTTGACGGGTAGTTGACCTGACGTTACAGCGCTGCCATCTCACGGGGGAACATTTTAGAAAACCCTCATTATGTGAGAACAGTGTAACACTAATATTTATTCAGAGAAATATAAAAAGAAAATAACCTTAAGGACACAGTCACCCTATATAAAAGCATTTTGTAATATCATTTTTAAAGTAAACATACCGGATTTGAAGAAATCCGGTGGAAAAAACAACCTTCACATTTATTCTGATCTTTAACCTTTATTATTCCCGTAAAAATAACGTGACCTTACTGACCTCTGAATGCTTAAAATGAAGAAAACAATTGATTAATTAAAGAAAATAAAAATCATATTATTTCATAGTATATTAAATGATTATTTAGATACCACTTACATACGGTAAAGGAAAACATCGTGAAGGAACTAATATCTAATCATAAGTTAATCCGCCTTGAGCAAGCGTGGTGATGAATGCTCAAACCGTGTGAGAAGAGACCTTTGCTCAGCAGTGGACACTTATAGGCTGTTGAAGACTGCACGGTACCCACAGGTCTTTCTCGCCTTTTGGACAACGTGTCACGAGTTCAATGCTCGCACGGAACAACTCCTTTATGTTGTAATTTTTTTGGCAGTCCGATATTAATTGAAAACCTAACTATGGTCTGTGTTGTTGCAAGTAAATTCAAATTAAAACGATTTTTATATAACAAACCTTTGAGGTCGCCATTTTTCCTTGAGCTAATTATTTTGAAGAGAATTTATTGGTAGAAAGTTATACTGCTTAGCTTTAATGTGGTTGGCGCGATGGCCGGGCATCTGCCTGCCGCACAGCGTGTGGTTCTAACGCACGGAACAACTCTTTGTGTGATCAAAAAATTGTTGTTCTGGGTCTGGGTGTCTTGTGTACATAAACATCATGTTTGTAAACGCATCCACGACATTCGACAGTGAGATGCAATGTTTTTTTTAAAGAAAAAAAAATGAATTAAAAAATCTGGATTGCTTGCTTCGTGGACTTCAAATATCAGAGACAGATCAAATATTACGGAAATCAAATATAAATTCACACATAATTATAATAAAGTACATAATTGTACTCTATAATGGATATAGGACAGGTTACATTATTCTGTTTACGTCGTTTTAAGTTATAACATGTGTAATAGAACCAGTTTATTAAAACCAGGAAAGGGAAAAAGACTAGTTATTATACAAACAATAATTATTATGAATATGACGATTTTTTTAGTCGCCAAGGAAGTATTGATGTTTTGGTGTAATTAAAATTGAAATTAAAATCATTGTAATTATTTTTATTGGCTCACAAGCGGAACTGTTTGACCAATTACTCATCCAAAAAAAAAACAATGAATGAGTGGTGTATTTTTTATTAAATGTGTGATCCAGTGTTTTTATAAAAAATGCTTTGGATTTTCGGGTATGAGCACTTTTTTGGATTTATAATACCAGACGACCTGATTAAGGTCGCAGGAAGCCGCTGGATGCAGGTCGCTTCCAACCGGCCTATCTGGAAGTCAATGGGGGAGGCCTATGTTCAGCAGTGGACGTCCTGTGGCTGATATGATGATGATGATGAAAACCCGAAAAGGGCAGCTACAGATAAATGAATGTGTTCATCTTACTTAGTTAAAAACGCGAAAGTTTATAAGTATGGATGAACTGATATGAGTTACACGACAAGTAAAACTACTGTAGGACAGGTAGGGTTCGAATGAAATTTAGCATAGAAAATTAAGTCTATAATGCAGGGTCAAGCGCACTTTGCTGCCATGGCTGCGGCCAAGAGCAGTAGAAGGAACGGGTAGTTTTTATTCAGTAAGAGTCTGACACTCACTCTTAGATTTTAAAAACAAGGAAATAAATTTGATGTGTACGTATTTCTGAATAGTCATATAATATGTACCTATATTGGTTGACCAATGTAGCGGTTCGATAACCATGTATTTTTTTCCAATTTATCAGGGACAAGGTCTTCCAAAAACTTTTGAAGGCCAACATCGTGTCGGTGACTCGTATGACCCACATGGTTTTACCTGGTATGGTAAGCAGGGAGAGGGGTATCGTCATCAACATTGGATCCGCTTCATCCATCATCCCCAGCCCTATGCTGACTGTCTACGCTGCTACTAAGGTTAGTTTTTTTCTGATTTATGTATAGGAAGTCAAAACATTTAAGTATTTAAAAATAGACACACTAGAGGCTTTGTTGAACGTCACACAAAAAATAATATCATTAAGTTCAACTTTGTGTGTGTCAGTCGGTCGGTCTGTCCTCTAGTGAAGCTGTTTGGTTGTTCCAAAGTGTTTCTTATTCAGAAGAACGAGCAAGAAACTCCATTGTTACTCTTTTTCAATCAGTTTCACAATTAATTGCTTTGTTACGATGCCTGCACAGTTGACGCGGTGGCTGGGCCAAAGGCTGCCGCGCATATATAAATATAAATATGTATGTATACATATAAGTGAATATACAGTAACTGATTTTGTTAATAACAATCTGCACTACCCCTAACCAAATGACCTTTGTTATAATGAAAAAATATCCAATCGACCCAAACCACTGTTCTCTCTTGCAGGCTTACGTTGACAAGTTCACCGAGGGTTTAGACATGGAATACTACATGAAGAACATTCTTTTTCAATGCGTAATGCCTGGATTCGTTTGCTCCAACATGTCAGGTATCCGAAGGAGCTCTCTCTTCGCTCCCACAGCCAAAACCTTCGTAAAATCTGCTCTAAGCCTCGTCGCTGTTGAGAAGAGGACTGCCGGCTACTACCCTCATGAGTTCTTCGTTGATTGTCTCAATATCCTAGTAACAGCTTCCTACAACTTCGGAGTATGGATCGTCACCAGGTCCATGAAGAACAGCCGTCTGAAGTGCCTCAAGAAAATGAAAAAACAGTAAATGGATTTTTGTCTTGGGGTATTTTTGGGGGTCATTTCCAAACACTCTAATGCTTTTCTCTTATGCTTTTTTCTGATTTCGTCCATATAATATGTAGCTAATATAGTGACGTGATGTTTTTATTAACTGTAGTGACCAAATGTCACGTCACATTCGTGTAATTTAAATGTGTCTATGCTTCTTCTTGCGCTGTATTTAAAGACGATCTGCTTTTTGGCTGTCTACAGTCAATACTCATTTGACAATCAAAATGCGGACTGTCTTATAAAAACCCTATTAACCAAAGATACTATTTAAAATGATGTAGTTAATTTCATAACTGTGCATTAGAGTTGGTGTTGAACATTAGGTAATTCAACACACTATGTTTATAAATGTCGTCAGTCATGGAGCCGGAAGAATGATAGTTGTAGGCAAGGTTCGAATATAAGGAAGATAATAACTAGGAAATTGTTAATTGAAATTTGAAATTTCATCGACTGTATATATTGAGCTGATTTTGGCATGTTGGAATTGGCAGGGATTGTATATTTAATAAAATTGGTATTAAATGTCTTCTTGTTTTTTTAATAATCATGGTGGTGGTGTTTTCGGTGAAGCCAGATGCTTTCAGTCTTACAGAAGTTTGTTATCGTAATTTACCTGCAAGATATTCAGATATTCTCTTGAGGCGCCATTTGGGTAATGTAGAGATGAATCAAATTATTGTTGAACTTATGAGTAATAGTAACATAAAACCCTTGTAGTTGAGAGCCATGCTTCGGCACGAATGGGCCGGCTTGACCCGATTGATACTGAGGGCTCACAGAAAACCGGCGTGATACAACCACAGCGTTGTGTTTCGCCGTGTGAGGAGATTATCGGACGCCAAATCCCTCCTCTTCACCTCATCTGCCCCGTCCTTAAATCCCAAGAGTAAGTCCTTTGGTATTACGGTATCCATGGGCGGCGCCGATTGCTTTCTATCAGGTAAAGTTGAAAGTTGTCATGATTCCTGTAATTTCTTTTTCATTTCATATAAATATCTTTATATAGGTACTTTACCTTCTGAAATACGCAACCTCCTTTTAAAATATAGCGTTTGGCTTCACCCCTAAATTGGAACACTTTTATATTTATAGAAAATTGTATATACTCGTACATATGCAGAATTAACCCCACAATACCCGTAAAGCTGTAAATATTTCTTGCCTCCGCAAAAACTAAGGATCTGTAAGTATAAAGCTGAAACTGCGTTAAGCTGTCATTGATCTTGCGGCAGTAGGTTACATTATAGGGGTCGCGCAAATGTCCGCTTGACGCAATTTTAAGCCTAAAAATACAAGGTAATGGGTTTATTTTTAATAAAAGTATCAAAAAGCCTTGATTGAAAACTGGTCCTGCCAATTTTTCACCTTGAGTTAATTTTAGTACGTACGGTTTCTTGACATTTTATTTTCAAGCTTTAAGTTTTTGAACAGTACAAAATGTGTTTATTCTGTGATACAACTGGCTGCAATAAATTTTAAATAAAATCTTGACCGTCTCAATCGGTGCTTATATAGTTTCAATTGGTTTTGGATTGATACACGATCAAGCAATGTTTTAAAAGATTTAAAAATGATATTGACACGATTCCACATAAAATGTGAGAAAACTTGACGATTCTAAAAGCCATGAGCCTTAAGAAACGTCAGGTTTCTGTTCTCCATCATACTTTAGAAATCATTGAATTAGAATTAATTTGATCAAAGTTCTTGCAATTAATATTTTCTTGAAAAAATTTTTTTTTCTATTTTCTAATTCACTCTTCACTGATCTTATGGAGTTTTTTTTTTTGTTTTACAGGACAGGAAAACTGGGTGCCTAAGTTAATTTATTTTTAGGATAATAACACTCCTTGTTTCGTTTACGTACAAATTTTGTTTTTGTTTGACAATTATTTATTTATTTTTTATTTAAAATAATAAACGTTTTTGTTACCAAATATCTACATGGTTTGGTTTTATTTTAGCCTAAAATTTGCTTTCAAACTTAGCATAAGACAGCAAAGGCTAAGCTAATGGATAGACTGATTGTTAGCAATTGGCCTCGACATAGGCACTCGCAATATTTACCGAAGGACGTACAAGTGCATTATGGGCTTCCCGAAATCAAAAATTTGGGAAGATTATGGGGATGGGGCACAAAAGTGTCTTTCAGCCAGTGTTTCTATAATGCCACGGTATTCCGTCATCGACTCGGATCATTAATGCTGAATCATGACTTCCACAAGAGAGCAGCAGCTCTGATGTTGCTAGTGTAGGTGATGAAATAAATTTAGTAGCCTGGAGGTAGGGGACACCTGTTCTTAATAATGCTCCTCGTGCGTTGGAAGCCTGGCAAAAACCAAATTAAGACAGCACTGACAAACAGTGAAAGAGAAGTTTTTCATGTGAAAAGAGGCATTTACTATCAGTGGATGCTTAAGGCTGCTGATGAATTGAGTTAATAAGGCTACGTAAATAATATGTAAGTACAATCGCCCAAATAAAAAAAAAAACCTTAAGCATGACCGGACTTCAAAATATTAGAAACTTTTTTGTGCATTCCATAACAGCAAACATAAATAAAAAGGCGACCGATAAAAAGGTTTACCACAACTCCAAAACCAAAGAGCAGAAAAAATACCTGTCAAATATTTTTATTCGTTTTATACACGCAGACAATGTCAAAATTCAATGTCATTCAAAAATAGTGTAACAACCACCAAACAAAATTAGGTATTTGAATGTGTAGAAATACGTAAAAAAACATGTAAATACTATCCAAAAAATGGTGAAGTACTCCGGTACGATGTTTGGAACTTGGGGTTGAAATATGGGTAAAGCGAAAAATTCAGAGTGTTCACTCAGTTTCAACCTAAATCAGTTGCTGATGGTTATAGGTTCCGTGGTGATACTTGTACTGTTATTCCTGGTTGTATGTCACATCACGAGTGGGAGATGAAGCTATGGGGAAGGTGTCTAAAATCAACTACAATATTGACGTTTTACAAGTTCTGCTAATCGCATTCGCCTTTGTTACTTTACTCATAGTTATGAGTTGGATGTGCAAATATTTCCAAGGCCCATAAATCGAAAATTTTTCTTCTAAAACAATGGGAAAAACGGTTCCTTTAGAGTTTTGTTTTAATCAGATGCTCACAGTGATCGGATCGATCGTTATTTTAGTATTCCTTTTCTATTTCGTTTCCAGTGTGCTATGTAACAAGTGTGGCTGCTGATTAACATTTACCATGGCGTCAAAAAAATCTTGTGAATTTAGTTTGGACTTTGGACATATTATCCTTGCTTCATTTGCGTTTCTTGCTTGGCTGATTATTTTGAGATGGATGTGTAAATATTTGTCAAGTCTACCGCCCATGTAAACCTAAAATGGTACCCTTAGTTTGCAAGACGATGCTTCGGACATGAATTCATTTTGATGCCTTGAATACTGAGAAAAATCCACAATGATCGAAGCAAAAAGTGTATTCAGAAACTTTGTGCCTTTTGGTTTAGTAGTATTACTTTTAGTAATCAAACATGGTCATGTAAGACAGTATTTATGAAACAAAAACATTTTTGGAAATAAGAAAAGGATTATGCATCGTCACTGGGCAACTAAGTGGAGAATGTGAATAAAAAGGGAAAACAAACCTTCATCCTAATACAAATATTACTACAGTCCTACGTATTCAAGTGATATTTTAAATAATTGGACCACAAGCCCTGGAACTTTCAAATCAAAATTAAATGTTTGTGTCACATATTTAAAAAAAAGCAAGAAATTTAAAGAAAATGACATTGAAGAATCGTTTAAAGTAAAAAGCCCTGAAGGTATTATTTATTATATTTTAAACTGTAGTGGATTAAACAGTTTTTTCAAAATACGTTTGCTTTATTTCAAAACGATTTTACCATTAGGTTAGGAATCGTAACATATGATATTTTTACCACATATCAATACAATATTATAATCATCCCAGCAACTCAACTGACACTTTCAAGTGATTTAACATCTCAGTCACTCTCTTGGGACATACTAAAACAATTATTGATAATAACTAACTCACTTGAATTAGGTACCTGGGAAAAGTTGTACCTATTACTTAGTCAGCAGCGTGACGTTGCCGCGACGAGCACGCTGTTCACAAATAAGAGTCCCGTTGTGACTTGAAACTAGTAGAGGTTTTCCCGTAGGTAGTGGTTCTCTTCTGCATCTTTTTATGAATTTCTAAAACTCGACAGCAGTTGAACCAATTTTGCAAATTTTAGTCTTGAAATATTTGTAGATGTCTTGGGAACGTTTAAAGGTAGAAAATTTGGTTAATTCTGCGGCGGGACAGTCAATTTAGCTGATTATAGTGAATTAGCCTTTCAGAATAAGTACTCTTATTGGTAAGCACAATAAGGTAGTTACCTAAAATTGAGCTAAATGCTGCCCAAGTCTTATTGAGTCAGATCATTACTCAAGCACAAGTGACCGGCTGGCTTCCATGTCTGTGAGTGGATTAGCTGATGTTTAGTGATCGACACTATCTAATAATGGAAAAGAAATAATCAAAACAGCATGGCAGAGAGTTCTCTCGTTTATCTTCTTTTATGGGTTAAGTAACCGTATGAATTTACCCAGATTGGTAAAGGTATTGTTTGGTAAGTAATTCTAACAAGAATAATTTATTCTTGGGGATATTCAAAGAGTTTTTAACTAAATGTTTACCGATGTTAAGTCGTTTACATTGTCCAGCTGTTCTTTGAACCTTGAATAAATTAACTCGGAATATATTTGCTTAAGTAGGTAGGTACAATGAGCGGTCAAATAATAGGGCAAAATAATGTTGACGATGTTATTATCTTTACACTTTTCTATGGGCTAGGGAGACATCGAGTAGACGCCTCACCTGACCTGATGGTAAGCAATCGGCATCAGCTTTATCATAGCAGCACTAGATAAGTTGCAAGGCCACTGCTGGCTTTTAGATGTTTAGGATTTATTGGTGATTGACTAAGTTAACTTCACGTTCGCAACGAAGTTTTCTATGAGGCCGTGACGAAAGTCTAAACATGGTTCTCCCACGCTGGCAGTTAAGTGTCTTAAAACAGTAGTGTGTATTTCTGTGTGAAGCCCTTGGTTAAGTAGTAGGATTTTGGTATTGGAATATTGGTCGTTACTCGAGTACTAAATAAAGAATTTGAGTTTGAGTTTACTTTTCTATTTCATGCATGGGTCTTGTCAAAAACGCAAACTTGGCAGCTTATGGATCGCTGTTAGGTCACCGATATAATAATTATGATAAGCCCAATTAGTTGGCGTCTGGCTTAGAATGTATCTGGGTTCCAATTCAATGCAATGCTAATTGTGATGTTAAGCTTGACGATAACCTTGCCCTGCCTGATTCACTTTATTACTGCACGAATCATGGAGAAATGTAGTCAAATTACTGGAAGCCGCGGGTCGTGCTTATAAAACTAAGAGGCGTTACGTCGCTTCATATTATCTCTACTCCCATTATCCCTTTGACTGCTTTTATTACGTGATCGGTTGGCAAACGAGCAGATGGATTACCTGACGGTAAGCAAGCAGCGCCACCCATGGACACTCGCAACAACGGAGGAACAACGAGTGCGTCGCCGACCTTTTGGGGATTAGGGGTTAGGAGATTTTAGGCTTGGGAAGAGATTAGGGGAGGGAAAGGACGGGGCCTCCGGAAAACTCACTCACACGGCGAAACACAACGCTGTGGTTGCTTCCCGTCCGTTTTCTGTAAGGCCGTGGTATCACTTCGTTCGAGCCGAACAATTCGTGCCGAAGCATGGCTCTACCACACTTAGCATGGTGCTTGCACTAGGTAGGTACCTATACTGTTGATTTCACTTATTCTCCGTCTGCACCAACAATCAATCAGGATAAAATCAGTAATGTTTTCATAAAATCTGTACTTCACTTTGTTTATTGTTTAATGTTCCGATGTTCTTGTGTTCTTATGGGGTCACTATTTGCTATGTAAACTCATTATATAAATCTTACGTAGGTACTAGATATATAACACCTGTTTTATTAAATACGTACTTGCCATATTTCTTCAATCAGTTATGGGTCTTATGCCTCATGTACTCGTAATGAGAGCTAAGCGCATTGCACTGCACACAGTACAGTTGCAGATTCTATGCTATTTAACCAGGTAATCCCAAAAAGAGGGACTAATAATATCACGGCCTCAAAAAAAAACCTGCCTTAAAATAACCTTTTCGTAGGGTTTTTCCGTTGAGAGTGCGGTTACCTCAGGCCACGTGCAATTCCGGGGTTGCGGGATAAGCACAATGAGGCACTGCCACGCGGCCTCTGCCTAGAACAAGAGGAACGGGGGTTTTTAGTCGGTAAGAGTCTGACACTTTTTGTAGCCTTCCCCGGATGACAGAAGCCATTTGATGTTGTTCCCCTGACAAAAAAAACGTGCTATTCTTACGAGATCACATCTGTTGTACAGAGCTTATACTATTTAGGTACTTTAAATACACGATAGCACTTTATTCGACCCAGGAATTAGGTTAAAAACTCCTTGTTCGAAAGTCACAACTAGGTCAATGACTTCAGTGCATATTCTAATTAATTCTTAATTCCAATCCCGTGCATCCAGCAGGTTGTGTGAAAACCATACCTACTGTAATGAACATTTTAAAGATTCACGCCTTGTTTTGACATGTGTCTAGATAACACTTTGAATTTATAGTGACTGATAAATAGTTTAGCTGTCACCGACGCAGCTTTCTTTTATGGAATAGGTCGGCAAATGAGTAGACGGATTACCTGATGGTAACTAATCACCGCCGCTCATGGACACCCGCAACGGAGGAGTTACGAGTGCGTTGCCGACCTTTTAGGGATTAGGGTT